TCTATCCTCCTCCCTCCCTTCACCTGTCCCTAGCAGCACCTGTCTATCCCCCTCCTTCCCTTCACCTGTCCCTAGCAGCACCTGTCTATCCTCCTCCCTCCCTTCACCTGTCCCTAGCAGCACCTGTCTACTGACGGGGGGCGTTAGGTATTATTTCAAACACCATCCTATGTAAATTGTCTGGGTGCACATGCACGCTCACATACGCACATGTGTACTCAAGCGCACTTACATGTCATGTCATGTCATGTCATGTCATGTCATGTCTTGTCATGTCTTGTCATGTCATGTCATGTCATGTCATGTCATGTCATGTCATGTCATGTCATGTCATGTCATGTCATGTCATGTCATGTCATGTCATGTCATGTCATAGCCGCAGTGTGACGTCACATCACACCGAACACGTGTCCCAGACCTGTTTCAAGTGTATTCGAACACTGTTCCTTGAATTGAAATTTATTTTCCTGTGTGTTCGGTTTTAGAATTTAGATGGCCCATATGCCGTTTTCTGTCGGGATTCGAACATAAACAAGATTGAATAATTTAAACATGATGTTAATTTGTGATTTTAACGTGTCAAGGGTTTTAACGATTTTTTTTTTCCTTTCAGGTGTGTGGAGCAGGTGTGTTGGGAGCCTGGCAACACTGTCGTAGACAGGGGGGGACCAGGTGTGGGCTAGACTGACATAGAACGTCAAAATATTGACGTTCTTCCTCTGAAGTTATCTCCTCTCTCACCACCGGGAAAACAGGAGAACAGTTTGAGTTCAACGGGTTCGCCATAGACCGTGCTACTTGGTACTTTTTGTTCCAAGGGGTTGAATCTGAAACAACAACAACAGTAGTAATAGTAGTTAGGCCTAACAGCTTGTCGGGTAATTTGTGATTTTAACGTGTCAAGAGATTGGGTTTTAACGATTTTGTTTTAACGGTTTTAACGGTTTTAACGGTCGAGTGTCTTGTATGAGGCTTCATTTTATCCTATTGTTAAATCACCCATCCAAGTTTTTGTTAAATAATTATCATATTTATACGATCTTAAATATTTCTGTTGGTTGGTTCTTCCTGGAGAACCAGCGCGTTTTTGCTGACGATTTCTTCAAGACGTTTTCGATTGGGCAGCAGAAAATAACATGATGTTTAACAGTGATAAATTCCAGATACTCAGGTACGGCAAAAATTAGGATCTGAAACATAATACAGGGTACAAAACACAATCGAATCTTCCCATAGTAGGAAAACATCATGTCAAGGATTTGGGAATAATGATGTCCGACGACCTAACGTTTAGGGAGCAGAAAAATGATAGGATGGATTACGAGAACTTTCAAATCCAGGGATCCCATCACAATGGTTGTACTCTTCAAGTCACTTGTGTTGTCCCGTCTTGAGTACTACTCAGTACTCACTTCCCCCTTCAGTGCAGGAGAGATTGCTGAAATAGAGGGAATACAGAGAACATATACGGCACGCATAGACGAGATAAAGCACCTAAATTATTGGGATCGTCTCAAAGCTCTCCAAATGTACTCACTAGAAAGGAGATGAGAGAGATACCAAATAATATACACATGGAAAATACTGGAGGGACAGGTCCCTAATCTACACAGTAGATTAGGGACATACTGGAGTGAACGACATGGAAGAAAATGCAGAATAGAACCAGTGAAGAGCAGAGGTGCCATAGGCACAATCAGAGAGCACTGTATAAACATCAGAGGTCCGCGGTTGTTCAACGTCCTCCCAGCGAGTATCAGAAATATTGTCGGAACAACCGTGGACATCTTCAAGAGATAACTAGACTGTTTTCTAAAAAGCGTGCCGGACCAACCGGGCTGTGGTGGGTATGTGGGCCTGCGGGCCGCTCCAAGCAACAGCCTGGTGGACCAAACTCTCACAAGTCAAGCCTGGCCTCGGGCCTGGCTTGGGGAGTAAAAGAACTCCCAGAACCCCATCAACCAGGTATCAACCAGGTCAAGCCTGGCCTCGGGCCGGGCTTGGGGAGTAGAAAAACTTCCAGAACCCCATCAACCAGGTATCAACCAGGTCAAGCCTGTCCTCGGGCCGGGCTTGGGGAGTAGAAGAACTTCCAGAACCCCATCAACCAGGTATCAACCAGGTCAAGCCTGGCCTCGGGCCGGGCTTGGGGAGTAGAGGAACTCCCAGAACCCCATCAACCAGGTATCAACCAGGTATCTAGCCTTATGCTAAAAAGAAAACTTTCTAACATCTTTATGACACATCTGAGTCTCAAGCTTACATCCGTTGCCTTCCCTTGATATATTGATATTCATTGTAAACATTGTCCAGTACTTTCACCTTGTTAATCCCTCTAAGTATTTTATACGTCTGTATCATGTCCCCACCGTCCTTCCTCCTTTCTAATGTCGTCAGGTTTAGTTCCTTCAGTCTATCTTCGTACCTCATCCCTCGCAGCTCTGGGACGAGTCTCGTTGCTAACTTCTGCACCTTTTCGAGCTTCCTTAGGTGTTTTTTTTTTGTAGATGGGGGTTCCAGGATGGGGCGGCGTACTCTAAGACTGGCCTCACACAGGCGGTGTATAGTGATCTAAAAGCCTCCTTATTCAGGTTTCTGAAGGATGTTCTGTGTGTGTGTGTGTGTGTGTGTGTGTGTGTGTGTGTGTGTGCGTGCGTGCGTGCGTGCGTGCGTGCGAATACGATGTAAGGTATTCGGTGACGAGGATTCAATATGCATCATTTGCATAAAGTTGATTAATTTTAAGTTTGAAATTGGCTTTGCCCTTATCACTATCATTCTTCATAAATTGAGTGCGCGTGTATGTCTGTGTGAGTGAGTGAGTGAGTGAGTGAGTGAGTGAGTGAGTGAGTGAGTGAGTGAGTGAGTGAGTGGGTGAGTGGGTGGGTGAGTGAGTGAGTGAGTGAATGAGGCCCCGCTTCTTGCCCTATTTGAGCAATAGTGGATCAAGTTATCCTTCAATATGTCTTGCCTAACGTTCCCTTCACTTGCCACTACTGATCTCGGTGACGGAGGGTGATACCTGGTTGATGGGGTTCTGGGAGTTCTTCTACTCCCCCAAGCCCGGCCCGAGGCCAGGGCTTGGTCCACCAGGTCCACTTGTGTGATCCACCAGGCTGTTGTTGCTTGCAGCGGCCCACTAGCTGGCCCGCATATCCATCACTTATTTTAACAGGTTTTCATTTCACGTGTAATTCAAAACAGTATTTTCTGAATTTAAAATTTATATATTATATGATTTGGAGTACAATTAGGCCTAGGGGTAGAGTAGGTCTTTTTTGGCCATTTTTTGTTCTGGCTCCCGTTCTCTGGAGGCTATGCTTGTTCAGCAGGCTGTAAGGCTGTCGTCGTTAACGACCTGGAGAACGTGCCGAGAACAATTCCCTACGTCCCGAACACGTGCAAATATAACACCTGAAATATTGGAGTGCGTGAAGTAACTCAAAAGGATGTCCCCCCCCCCCCACCTACATCCCCCTTCCCCCCCCCCCACCTACATCCCCCTTCCCCCCCCCCCCCCCACCTACCTCCCCATCCCCCCCACCCCCTACCCCCCTCCCCCCCCCTCGAACACGTACGATAATGACAACAAAATCTTTTATGTGTGAAGTTATTAGTCGACATGGATTCGCTCTCTGGTATAAATTAGGATTATATAATACTTTTGTGTAGAGATAAGTTATTCTGGTTCCTGATGGAAGTTATATTGATTCATATCTCCTTTTTTTGGAAGGGGGGGTCGCGACATTGGGCATGAACCCAACGACCACAATTACTGGGACAAATTAGGTGTAGTTAAATACCTACAGCTTAGCTACACCTAATTTGGGCGTGTTTACCTACACCTAATTTGGGCCAGTTGTGTCAGGCCCACAACCTCGAAGACACTGTTCCATTTATTGATATAGATTAGCTTATATATATAAGCAAATGCCGTATTTGAATACACAGTGATGGATATATATATCTGGGCATGGCTGGCGCTTGGACGAGCCTAGTCCGAGGGCGAGGTGGTGCTGTGCGCTCGGCCGACTGGCTTAACTAATCACAGGTCTTATCTTACTAATAACATGATAGTTAAGGTTGATAATTGTATACTCCTCCTGGTGACCTATTCCTACCTTGAGGCTACCTTGAGGTGCTTCCGGGGCTTAGTGTCCCCGCGGCCCGGTCATCGACCAGGCCTCCTGGACTGATCAACCAGGCTGTTAGATTCTGCGTTAAATGAATACTACATTTTCTGTTGGTGGTGGTCAAAAGTTTCTGTCATTTTGGCCGGTCGGCCGAGCGGACAGCACGCTGGACTTGTGATCATGTGGTCCCGGGTTCGATCCCGGGCGCCGGCGAGAAACTATGGGCAGAGTTTCTTTCACCCTATGCCTTTGTTACCTAGCAGTAAAATTGGTACCTGGGTGTTAGTCAGCTGTCACGGGCTGCTTCCTGGGGGCGGAGGCCTGGTCGAGGACCGGGCCGCGGGGACACTAAAAAGCCCCGAAATCATCTCAAGATAACCTCAAGATAACCTCCTTGCAGCAATCTTTGTTACCAGGGGGAAGTAATTCAATCAGTATGATCATTGTTGATAAAGTGAGATGGATAAACTGATAAGCTGTTTTAGGGATATTTAGATTATCTAAATTTAACTAATTTAGCTTTAGATTAACTAAACTTGTATGTTTAGATGAACTTTATATTTGTTAAGCTCTTCGATAGTATAGTTAATGTTATCTTGAGGTTATCTTGAGATGATTTCTGGGCTTCTTATGTGTTCTTCTAGTAGGTGATGCCTTCTCGTTGACCAGTTTGATGTTGTTATATTGGGTGTGACTATAACTTTTGTCTTGTAAGTATTTTCCTGGTATGTAATTTTTTTTCCCTGCTAATGCATAGCGATTCCTCCTGATTTGAGATTGATGGCTATGATGGAGAGGTGTCAGTCAGTAGGTGGCCTTTGCACCACGAGCCGGAGTGACCTGTGGGATATTGCACCTGTGTTGCAGGTGTTGGCGACGACAAACGAGGACCTGTACCTGGCTGACTTCGGGTCGGGGGACGGGATCGAACTAGAGGAGGACTCTGAGCTGTCGCACGACTCCGTACACCACCGCCACAACGACGCCGATCTCACCCACCTGGACGAGGAAGGGTCAGGCGACAGAAGCAAGAGCACGCCCTATGAGTCCACCTACGATGAGTACACTGATGATGAATACCCCGACAACATGGACCCCAAATTCAAGCCGCCCGAGGATGACGAAGCGATTGAAGGATCGGGATCAAGTGAGTGTTTATGCGAGTTTTCCCTTTAACTGTTGAAGTTTTCTATGAGTTAATACCATGTGTGTGTTCGTTTTCTATCATCTATTCATGTAGCGGTAATCTGCGAGTGAATAATGTAGTTAGTTAAATCATTTATCTAAAGTTCAGCTAGGGAATTTTCCGTAAAGTATGAGAGGATAATATTAATGACAGCTTTCTATTAGCTTTAGTTTTATTCTTTTTTTATTGGAAAGAAAGTGATTGAAACAGAGCATATGTATTTGGATGAGTTTACCCCTATTTCTTGGTTTTCTATGAGTGTGTAAAATTGTGCTCGTTTTCTGTCATTTCGAGTGAACGGTTGTAACGCAATTTGTCGTTGTGGTCTAATTTTGCACTAGAACATTCTTGCGCTACTGTGTAGCCTAACATTTGTTAACCAAGAAACGGAAAGGCTGTTTTTAGAGTTATAAAGCTGCAACACTTGTCTAACTCTATAGTACCTGTATACTGCGAGGTGAACAGAAGCATTGGGTGATTGGAGAACCTCTCCGAAATATCTTTTCGATCCTAGTTTCCTTGATTTCCGGGATTCGATCATTGTTTTGAAGTTAGAATCTAATTTCTAAGCCAGACCGGCTCATATACGTGGGTGTTGATGACTGGTGGAACATATTACTGGCTAACGTGTTAGGTGTGGCAGTGCTGCATTGTTTCAAGCGTAGGTTAGACACGTATATGGATGATTTTGGGTGGCGATAAATAGGAGGAGTTGTATTACTGCTTATGTTAGTATTATTTGCATTGAGAAAAGCACTTGGAGCAATGAGGAGATTTGAAGGTGTTGGCGCCACAACCAGCTGGTGCCACAACCAGGTGGTGCCACAACCAGGTGGTGCCACAACCAGCTGGCGCCACAACCAGGTGGCGCCACAACCAGGTGGCGCCACAACCAGCTGGGTCCTCCAAGACTTCCTAATGGACTCTTTAGAGTTCAGGCTTGAAGAGCTTTTGTCCTATCGTGGCCAGGCGGATTGAGGCAAGTGTCTGGTATGCATTAAAATGCGGGTTCGAATCCCCGCCTGGCTTCAACTGATTTTCTCATTAAAATATTACCCCAATGTGATTTCTTTGTGTAATTAATATTATTTTTGTTATAATTTATCCATACTTTTGACTTCCGTTATCAGAGAACCTTGTTATGCATGGTTTATGGTTCTGGCATTTTTTGTCCCAAAATCCACCTATTAAAATCACAAACTGTATTCTGTAGTAACATTTTGTATTTTTGTGTCATATGTAGAGAAAACATTATTGATTTCACACATGTAGTAATCACGTATGGTCACAAAACTGACGTTCCTGTAGATATGTGGCTACATAGTCCCCCAAGAAGCCACTTTTACGATAGGTTTTTGTATTCAGTCTGTCATAAATTGATGTTGTAGTGAAATTGGAAGAGGGAAGTCCATAGAGTTTTAACACTTAAGTGGTGATACTTTGTACTGCATCGGCTTCGTTAGGTTAGGTGGGTTGCTTGGGTTCCCACGTTTCTGGTTAGGCAAAACAATTTAATTTTTTTTTTACGGAGGGGCCAGTGGAGATGACTGACTGGGATGTGACGCAGTTGTTTACAAACACCTGTAACAGAGTGCTTAGAGCAGTGTTTGGGTTGCGTCTAAGCCACAACAGTCATCTAGATCACCAAACAATGCGGCTCATAGGGAGTGGAAGAATCCTCGGAACCGGTTACAGGTAAACTCCTGGTAACAGGCTTCTTCACCGCGACAATCTGAGAGCGTTACACCTAATAGTTTAGTCATAGATGAAAATATTTTCGTTTTCTCTGGACAGTGGTCGTGTCCGTTTTCTATGAGCGATCAATGAATGTTGCCACATTATAAATAAAAGAACAAAACGCGAGAGAGAAATTCACCCTTGAGTAGACATTACAAGTTAATGAGCAGCGATTAGTTGTGCGCGTAAAATAGAATTCATAAATTAACTAGTGGCCAAACAGGACGAAAGAGTGTAAAAATAATAATAATAATAATAATAATTTTTGTATTTGCAAGAAGGTACAATGGGTTGCCATTGGTACAATTCCTCATAGCGACAATGTGAGAGCGTTTCACCTAATGGTTTAGTTATAGATGAAAATATTTTCGTTTTCTGTGGACAGTTCTGCCTTTGAAATAGGGGAGGTAATTATGAAGGGAAAGCGCCAAGCCATTACGACTATATAGCCCTGGGAAGGGATCAGGATAAGGATTTGGGATGGGACGGAGGGAAGGAATGGTGTCCAACCACTTGGTGGACGGTCGGGGGATTGAACGCCGGCCTGCATGAGGCGAGACCGTCGCTCTACCGTCCAGCCCAAGTGGTTGGACTGGACGGTAGCGACGGTAGCGACGGGTCTACCTTTTGATAGACAAAAAGGGGAACAGCGTTTGTTCTCTCTGGCCATTGATTTAGAAAATGTAAATACGTTCTCCTTTCAGCAGTTGATTTAGAAATTAAGTTAGACGTTCGCGACCATTAGTTCCGTGATTACTATTAGTGATCAATCAACAGTGATCACTATTGATCAACAGAACGTTGATCTATATTACAAATACAATATTGTAGTATTTTGAGTGTCTCAATATTACAAATTAACGAAACATGATTTTGACTTTTTTTGAGTGAATCGACTTAGACTAATTAGTAGGATTTGCGTTACTTAAAAAATGTTTCTTGTTTTTTATACTTCAGGGTAGGCGAAACATTTGCATCTTTTTACCGAGTGGGGAAAGTAATGAAATAGGTCGGTATACTAGATTTGGATTACTAAATGCTCGCTCATAATTGCTTTGCAATGATTGCATTTTTGTCCCCCCGGGTGCAGTAGTCGTGCACTTTTGATTTGGGTCATTATTTGACAAGTTGCACACACACACACACACACACACACACACACACACACACACACACACACACACACACACACACACACACACGCGCGCGCGCGTGTAGAGACTATTGCGTGTTTGCGTGTCATTATGGTGGGGATTATTACAAGTTGCAGTCGTTTAATAGGATGACCTTCACAGCTAATTGAGGTTTGTGGGTGATGTTTCCATGTTGTTGTGAATGGCATACTTGTGTATTTTGTGAATGACTGTTGATATCTATAGATATCTATATATAATCTCTCCCCCATTCCCACCTCTTCTCACACCTCTCCCGCCCCTTCTCTCCCCCTTGCTTCCCCTATTTTTCCTCTTTTCCCCTCTCCTGTCTTCTCTCCCACTCCATATTTTCCCTCTCCCCCCCCCCTATTATCCCCGTCTCCCTACCCTCCCTGCTTACCCTCGGATCAGCCTATGTCCGTTCCGTACCCCTGAGTATTCACACTGCAAAGTTGGATGAGGCTAGCCGCAGGCGTCGGGCCTCTGATCTTATATGGATAGACATTCTGTCTCTCTCTCTCTCTCGTAGATAGAGATTTGTATCTGCCTGTCTATGTCTCATTGTCTGCTTGTCTATTGGATGTCTTGTCTGTCTGTCTGTCTGTCTGTCTGTCTGTCTGTCTGTCTGTCTGCTTATCTCTACCTGTCTGCTAGTCTTCCACTCTGAAATTCTTCCAGTTTGCCTTCCTGCTTGCATGCCTGTGTCTGCCTGTCTGCTGGCCTGCCTGCCTGATTGCATGTCTGCCTACTGGATGGCCTGCCTGCCTGCCTGATTGCATGTCTGCCTACTGGATAGCCTGCCTGCCTGTGTGTGTGTACATGCTCATGTACCTACCTGCCTGCTTGCCTGCTTGCCTGCCAGGCTGTGTTTTGGGTGGGAGAGGGAGCTCAGCTGTATTTAAAGGTGATAGAGGTGGCTGCACCCATAAGGAAGTGGTCGCCTTAAGTACCCAAGTACACTTTAAAGTGTAGACACTTAGAGTGTTGCTCAAGTGTGTGTGTGTGTGTGTGTGTGTACTCATTGTACATGTACTTGTCTACTTTATGCTGGTTCCGGGGATCTGTGTCTCTGCGGCTCGGTCTCTATGACCCCCCCTGCCTGGTGGTGTGGTTATCCGGGAGGGTAAATGCTTGCAGTCACAGGCTGGATAATCAGGTATCATTTGGAGGGGGTTTATCACGTTCTGTCCTGGCCACCGTGAGAGGCCAGCTTGTTGTGGCCTCTCGTGTGTTGTGGGAGAGTGTTGAAAAAGGTTTCAACACTTGATGTTGAAAGTTTTAGCGGGGCTATTTTTGCACTTCCTGCCATGTCTCTTGGTCTCATGTGGTGTATTTTACACTTCCTGCCATGTCTCTTGGTCTCATGTGGTGTATTTTACACTTCCTGCCATGTCTCTTGGTCTCATGTGGTGTATTTTGCACTTCCTGCCATGTCTCTTGGTCTCATGTGGTGTATTTTGCACTTCCTACCATGTCTCTTGGTCTCATGTGGTGTATTTTGCACTTCCTACCATGTCTCTTGGTCTCATGTGGTGTATTTTGCACTTCCTACCATGTCTCTTGGTCTCATGTGGTGTATTTTGCACTTCCTGCCATGTCTCTTGGTCTCACGTGGTGTATTTTGCACTTCCTGCCATGTCTCTTGGTCTCATGTGGTGTATTTTGCACTTCCTGCCATGTCTCTTGGTCTCATGTGGTGTATTTTGCACTTCCTGCCATGTCTCTTGGTCTCATGTGGTGTATTTTGCACTTCCTGCCATGTCTCTTGGTCTCATGTGGTGTATTTTGCACTTCCTGCCATGTCTCTTGATCTCATGTGGTGTTATTTTCCTGTGCAGGTTTGGAACCGGTGCCTCAAATGATATTTTCCAAGTGTAAATTATTATGCATCTCTCTCTTTCATGGTCTTAGATGCCATGGAAGAGAGGCAGAAACTGCTTGTTCTAAACTCATATTGCCCAAGGCGATGCAGACACGTGTTATAGTCTCATTTCCTGGCACTTGTTTCAAAGATTTGTATGATGTGTGATGTTAGTGCTCTCTGGCCATAATTGCCTCTGCTTTATTTCC